CTATCTATCAGTTTTAGTTCCTACCCAGGGAGCTAACAAATCAAGAAAAAAATAATTAATTTTTAAAAAGAAACTAACAAAGCAAAGGAAGATAGGCCATGAAAACTTGCAACATGAGACAATGTTATATTTATAAACAATTTAATAGTCAATGCATCAATTAGGAACCTTTCCATTTCAAATAATAGAAACCACCTCTAGCTATCTTAGACAAAAAGGTTATCTACTGAAGGGATATCAGGGACTCACAAATTCTGTAGAAGGCTGAGGACAGGCTTGGAAAGCAAGCAAAAACCCAAGGAGCTGGAAAGGACCAAGAAGCAGGAGGCACAACTATCTTAGCAATAATACAAAAGGACATTGCTTACCCTAGGATACCAAGCAGGAAGGAATTCTAACCACATGTTTGGGGATACCATCTTCCAACAAGACTTCCACAACAGAAAGACCCCCTAACTGAAAGTGCTGATGGATGCAGGAGAGCCAAGGGAAAAAAAGAAGTCACCTAGCTGGTACTGAACACTAGCAGGCACTGTCTGAGTGAAGCCAGGCATTGAGGGCTTTAAATGGGGTGCCTTACTAATAATCTTCACAACCATCATGTGAGGAAAATAGTCCCATTACCACATCTGTTTCATAGATGAGGAAACCAAGTCTCAGAGAGGTTAATTCCCCTAAGGTCACACAACCAGTAAGTGGTAAAAAAAAGAAATTTAAATACAGAAAGTTTGATTCCAGCAGCTAGGTACACAGCTACTAGTTTCTCCAAGAGGAGGAAAAGATCCCATCACATCTTGCTGGGAGATCAGGAAAGAAATTATCAAGGAGGTGCTTTTTGAGATGGATAGATTGGGTATTCCTTGAAAAATGTGTAGATTTTTTAGAAAAAAACCCATACTTTTATACAGATAATACATACATATTATAAGTTAGAAAATACAAAGCAGAAAATAGAAATTTCCACAATTATGCAAGCCAGGGGTAACAAAAAATAATAATTCGTGATTAGTATTTTTTTATTAAATATATTTAATATAAAATAGGTACATTTTTTGTATTACAAAAATAGAATCATACTATTTTAGTAACTTGATTTTTCCACCAAACAATATATTCTGAATATCTTCCCAAGTCAATAAAAATAACCCTACAAAATTTAAGTAGTTTTCAAATTTTATGGTTTCAGGATCACTTTATAGTCTTATAAATTATTGGGGACCTCGAAGATCTTCTTTATATGTGCTTTATATCTATCAATATTTACTGTATTAGAAATTAAAACTGAGAAAATATAAAAACATTTATCAATTCTTTCAAAATGATAAACCCAATACATGTTAACCTAAACATTTTAAAATAAAAATTCCTTCCCAAAACAATTATTGAAAAGTGTAACAATGTTTTACATTTTTGCAAGTCTCTTTAATGTCTGGCTTAGTAAAAGATGGCTGGGTTCTCATATCTGCTTCTGTATTCAATCTACTGTGATGTGTTGTTTCGGTTCAAGTATATGAATATGAAGATTTTCTTCATATACTTGTATATGAAGTACACAAGTATATATGACACAGATACCTAGTTGGAAAAGGGAGGAGTATTTTAATAGCTTTTTCAGATAATTGTGGATATTCTTCTCTTGTACCAGAACTCAGCAAACAGTAGTTTCTTAAGGCTCAATTCCATGTAGAATCTGAAACCGTATCAATGAAATTTAAATTCTATCAATCTATTTAAAATTTTGGATGGATCTTTTACCCATGCTTGATTTTGTAACATCCTCACTTGTCATTTGGAAAATATTGGTTGATTAAGTTATACAGATCTCCCAAAAGTTGATACATGTCATCATATAATATTTTAAAAATCACATGCATTAATATCACCACTGATCTCATGGGGACTTTGTCAAGCTCACAGTGGCATATGAGAGTTTTCCACAATTCTAATTTTCATTTGAAAGTTCAAATTTTATCACAGACAATAAAAACTGTCAGTTATCTTCCTTGAAGAGAAAGGCTTACTTGTTCATATTTGAGAAAAATGTCTGCCAAATAACCAAGTCTGAATAATCATAGTTGTCTCTGTCAGGTGTTCTTTTAAGTAAAAATGGCATTCCATGCTAAAAGTGGCTGGTTGAGCTAGCAACTCAATGCAGAAGTGCTTCTCCTCAAGTCATACTTTTGTACACAGCAGAAAAACTTTATGTGTGCTTCCCATTTCATCACACAGAATAATTTTAAAAGACACACAGGTTGAGATTTCATAAAGTTAATAGTTTTTACTACTTCATTAAGGATGTTCTTAAGGGAAAGTCTTCCCTCCTCCTCTTTTTGAAAACTACTAGTTCACTTGGTGACTAGTTCGGTTTGGTGCCATTGCCTTGATTTTGTGCTAAGAGGCTAGCAGTTTCAACCACCAAGCTTTCCCCTTAATCAGTGCAAATACTAACATGGTTTTAAAAAAGCAAGTATTTATTTATTTATTTATTTTTTAATTAAAAAAATTTTTTTTTCTTCGCTGGTAGAAGTTCAATTAACTTCCCCCTTCCCACTGTGGAGGAAGGCAGTTTTGCATTTATTAAGCAAATTCATCTCAGCATTCCAGACTACCTTTATGTATTTGCCTTTTGGATTCATCTCTGAACCAACTGTGGCTTCATACATACGCCCTCATTAATTGAGTTAAATCTTTGACACGTGTTCATTTTATATTTGCATGACCATCATTTTACCTTTTTACAAAAAGATATGCTTTTAACATTGCTAATAGCAAGTGCACCCCAAGTATAGTGGTGTTATCCAGAGATAACCATCCTTTCTTTGAGCATATGCGAAAAGGATTAACTGTTGATTGGAGGCCTACCTCCTGAAGGAATCAAAAGATACCAGGAGATAGGAGGCCCAATGTGGGTTGACTGAATGCATAGCACCAATCTGAATATACAGATTTACAAGACACAGTCACTAAATTTTAAACTTTTAAAGCAGGACTTTTGATAATTTAATGCACACCTTACTTCCAAAAGTCTAGCTCGAATAACAGTTTCCGGGAGTGAGAACGGTAAAATGTGAGAAGGTGGTTTGCAGATAGTGAGTCTGACAGATGCCTCAGCTCTCATTGCTTTCACCAATCCTACAAAAAACACAGAGTACTTACCAGTTTAACAACAAACATAATCGAGCACCTACTTCCCAGCCCTGGGGAAACTGTCCCAATATGATAGGGAATGCAAAGAAATAAAATACATGTTTCTACTTTAAAAAAACTTGGGACTTACAATCTGGAAGGGATCGCAGCGATGCTGTTACGTCCAAGTCCTGGGGGCCCGGAAGCTGAGCGTACACCAGGAGTCAGGCATCCAATCCCAGGTCCAGGGCGGTTGCTTTCTGACTCAGTCATTTCCACTCCCGCTCCCTTATTTTTCCATTTCCTTAGTTCTCATTCCTGCGCACCTTACAGGCCACACCTGAAGCTGGTTCAGAGAGGCCGCTGCAGGCCTGGGTCCACGCCGCCTGCAGAACTCTCGACCTGGTTCCACAGCCTAAGGTTGCGGCTTGAGCCTTGCGGCAGGCAGCCCATAAGCCCCATTCTTTCTCTTCCGGCGCTCAGCTGGATGGATCTCTTTATTTTAGCCAGGGAGGCTTGTGATTAAGAGCTGCCTTTTCTCAAGGAACTACCAGTCATAAGAGCCTCTGTCCAGAGGAATTCTGGTTTCTGCGTCCCTTCAAACCGCCTCAAGTGCCCCTCCATAATTTTTTATATTACTATAAAAATAGTTTTCCCCTCAAAGACTTGGTAACTCTCAGGGAAACCGTGGACCATACTTTGGACAATTAATGTACAACATTTTTACCGGCTGCAGACTATTATATTGTATGAGTAAACAGTATATTTACCCAGTGTTCTTTATTGTTGGGCATTTAAATTTCCAAGTTTCCTCCATTACCAATAATCATGTAGTTAAGACTTTGCTTGCATCCTGAATAATTTTTCCAGAATAAAGTCTTTGGAAATGGAATTGCTGGCCAAAGAATATGAATTGTTTTTAAAGAGCCTTCTGAATATTGCCACATCGCTTTTCAAGAGGTTTACCAATTTACACTTCCATTTTACATGATTATCCTTCCAGGTTCTCACCAACGCTGATTTTCTTTAAAAAACTTGCCAAATTTACAAGCAATACATGGTATCCCATTTTGTTTAATTTGCATTTCTTTGCTTACTGGTTAGGTTTTTCCATATATTTATAAAAATTGGTGAGTTGTGTTTTCTACTGGAATAGTCTTTGGGATTTTATCTTTTGATCTGTCAGGCATATTGCAGACATTTCTTTCCAGTTTTTGTTTACCTTTTAACTTTGCGTATTTTTTCTCAATTTATCTTGTTCAAGAGCTGCATGGTATTTCATAACGCGGATGTACCAAGATTTATTTTTGATTCTCTCTACAAGATGATGAATGACCAGGTTTCCAATTTTTCGTTATTTTCCCACCCCCACCCCCGAAACAAGGCAGAGCCGCGAGTTTTTTTGTAGGCATGTAAAAGTGTCCAAGGAGTAGACTCCTAAAGATGAAAGATCTGTGAGTACTTTTTTTTCATTTTGTAGGCTCTTTGTAACCACCACAGATACGTCTGGAGACAAAGCACGCGAAGGCCAACAACCGGCCAGCCAACACAGGTTCCTGCTTAGCCCCTGACCGTTTTCTTCCTTTCACAATGGACGCAGAATTTATTATTTTTTACCTCGTAGATACAACAGTTCTCAGCACCAAACCCAGATATACAAACACTCAGCCACCAAGCACTACGCTTAATGAAGTAGAGGAAAAAAATCCTCCAGCCTCTTCAGATCGTGACGCTTGCTTCCGGGAAGCGGACCGGAAGCCGTTCTCGATTCTGCGTCAAAACCGACCTCAGGGACCGTCGTAAAAGTGTCGTCCCTCGTCTCTCCGGCTGGCCACAGGTTTCCGCTCGCCTCTGGCCAGGGGTCGGGAACTGCAGGCGTCAGTTTCCCTCAAGATGGCCGACGAGGAGGCCGGGGGTTCGGAGAGGATGGAAGTCAGCACCGAGTTGCCCCAGACCCCTCAGCGACTAGCGTCTGTAAGTCCCTGTAGGCAAGTTCCTTTTGTCTTTCCCCCAGTCCCTCCCTGCCACGGTCAGGAGGATGTGGGGCTGCACCCTTATGGCGGCTCTGGGGAGGGGGAGTTACATGAATTGATCTGGGAAGAAGCCACCGAATGAAAAGTTAGTCGTAGCTCACATTTCTGCAAGCCAAGTCTACGGAATATAATGTCTTTGTCATGTATTAGTCTTGACGAACTCAAGCATGCATGTCTCTGTCCTGAAGTAGAAAGAACCAGTGATGTTATTAGGTGGTTTGATATGGGGACTGAGGCGGGATTGGAGGAAGAGCCATTTTCCTGTAGACGAAGTGCTAACCCCTCTTGATGACAGGCATTCAGGACGCAACACCTGGTATTGTATTGAATAGTTAGCAGGGCGAGACGTGATAGTGGCAGGGAATGCTGCCACTGTCAAGTCATATCAGGATGTGAAATATAGGAATTGTCCTTTGATATAGCATCTTGAGAACCCCACGCATAATCCTCAGTGGAGAAACCCATCCCCAGTCGCTGCTTTTTAAAGGTGACGAAGGCATGCCTAGAAATTTCTAGTCAGAGCACTACCATTAATATCGAAATCTGTACTTTGCTCTTGTATTTTGAAAAAATGGTAAGGCAGAGATAGTGAGCAAATTTGAATCAGTAGTCTAGCTACAGGGAGAAAGCTGAAGAGGGTAAGAGGTAGGGAGCAGTGTTAGGGGAATGTTCTGGATGCCTCCAGACATCTAGTGGGGAGATATATAGGAAATATTCAAATATCTGTCACTGCATGGTGTTTTATCAACTTGTCTTTATAGCTGCATATAGAAAAATATGGGATGTACACCTCTTTCTGAAATTTCTTTGGTTTGTAGTTTTAATAAAAGCATTTTTGAAGTATTTTAATCCTGCAGACACTTGAGCATTGTTTTATGAGAGAACAGAGTGAGCTACAGAATGAGTCAACTCCAGGGACTGGAGAGACTGGCTAGGAGATAGAAACCCAGTAGGAAGGGAGTTGGAATAAGGGTTTTGCCACTGTGTCAATGCATGCAATCTTCCTCCATCCCAAATAGCAGTTCAAACTCACTTCACTACAAACAGTGAAGGAGGAGCCATCTGTTTGAGATGATAAGGAATGAGAAGATAGGACTAGTTTAGAAGGAGCTGAAACATCTGGTCTTAATGGTAGCTTGTGTGTTTTACATGTTAGAAGGAGTGGAGAAATTGTGTGCTGAGGTTAGAAGAGTTGTAGTTTGGTATCTGAATATGACTAATATTTATCTGAAATATTTGATACAGTAATTCTTTTCAGATGATACCGTAAAACCTCCTCATTCTGGATTCCATGAATTTGGAATTAGAGATAATGGTGCAGGGACTGAGCTAGAGTTTATGTGGCAACTGTTTACTTTTTACTTTAGGAAATATTATTAGATTTCTTTGGCCAAGGCTTTGGGTTTTGTAAAGTAGTAGACAGTGTAATATAGCCTCAGGGAACTCACAGTCTCATGACACAAATAATGCCAAGTGTTTAAAGAATTTTAATTCAAGACAGGGTAAGTAGATGAAGACCTCTGACTGTTAAGCCTCCTAACCACTTTTTTGGCTTAGATCTATCTTCTGAAGACCCTACAGATTATTCTACCTTTCTTTTCTTTTTAAAGCTACTGTCTTCAATTTTATTCTGGCAGTGGACTAAGATACTGGCTTCTCAGTTTACTACTTCTTTGCTGTTCAGCAAAGCAAGCTCAGTTGGGCTTTATCACCACCATCTGAATGATTTGCATTTTAAACCACCATTGGACACAGGGCAAAACAAAAATAAATAATATGGGACAGTTACAGAGATTTAAGATATCTTACCAGTTCCGTTAGAATCTTATCCCTGGTTATAGTTTCTGATTTCCTTAAATCAAACTTTTTTCTTAGACTGAAGGTCATTTTTCTGTCATATTGCTATCAGCGAGCATGAAGGCTGTCATATTCCTAACATTACCTAATATGCAATTAGAGTGAAATAATAGATATGAATTACTGGACATTTATAAAAGCCATTACTTAAGAATCACCAGGGGAGCTGATTCTGTAGGTCTGGGGTAAGATCCAAGAATCTGCATTTTTACAAGCATGCAATCTTCCTTCACCCGCAACAGCAGTTCATACTTCACTACTGGTAGTAAAAGCGGAAGATCTATGAGATGGTTAGGACTGAGAAGATAGGACAAGGTTAGAAGCAGCTGAAACATCTCATCTTAATGGTAGCTTGTATTTTTTACATGTTAGACGGAATGGAGAGACTGTGTGCTGATGTCAGACACACAGAGAACAAGAACAGGAATGATCGAATTTCAGGGGTAGAAGGTGGAAGAAGAACTGAGTAAGGACCTGAAAATGGAAAAGCTAAGCAGGTAGGAGATGAGAGTAGTGCAGTGTCATAGGGTATAGTTTTGAGGAGAGGGTGGTTTATTGGGTCCATGTTGATACTGAGAAAAAACTGAGAAAAATTGGGAATCTGGAGGGTATGTGGGGTGGTGTTCCAGAACTTCTGCCTTCTGTCTTTGACTGGATTTTCTTCCTAAGTCCATCTCAGAAGATATCTCTTGGCATAGTACTAAACTCTTTCTTTTGCCTGTCTATACCTTCTGCCTAGTTGATTTCATACAGTTCTGTGGCTTTAAATACCATCCGTGTGTGTTCAGTTGCCAAATTTATATCTCTATGTCATTTCACTTCTAAACTTCAGAATCATAAATCCAGCTGCCTACTTGACAACTCCACTTGGATGTCTGATAGGTGTTTCAAACATGGGGAGCTATTCGGAAGTTACTGCTGTAACCCAAGCCATAGTTGATAATAGCTTGCACTAGAGAGATTATCACTGGAGATGGAGAGAAGTGGATGAATTTGAGGGAGACTTTGGAAGTATGAAAGAAGCAAAAAGTCTTGCTGATCGATTAGGCGTGAGAGAAAAGGGAAAAAACAGATGACCTCTGGATCCCTAGTTTTTGCCTTAAGTATCCATGGTAGTAGTTGTGTCATACACTGAGAAGAAGGACCAGGTTTTAGGAGGGGAAAGGAGGAAGGCAGATCAAGAGTTTTGTTATCCCTGTGTCAGTAGATGACACCTCTGTAATAACTCTTGGACACAAATAACTCTCTGTTTCCACTTCACCTCTGTAATCCAGGCCTCTCTATCTGTTGCCTGGGCAACTGCAGTGACCTCTTAACAGGTCTCTTTGCTTCCACTTTTGCCCTTTTCCAGTCCATTCTCCACAGAGCAACCAGAGTACTCTTTTTAAATCTAATCATGTCAGTCTCCTACCTAAATCCTTCAGTGGCTTCCCATTGTACTAGGAATAAAGTCTAAACTCATTACAAGACCTTCAAAACTAGGCGAGGTCTAGCCCCTATATCTCTACCATATTTCCTGTTACTTTCTCCTCACTCACTTTGAGCCACCCTGGCCTGTTAGTTTCTAAAACAAGCCCAGGAGGCTGCACATGAGTGAGACCCCATCTCTACGAAAAACCAGAAAAATTAGCTGGATGTGGTGGTGTGCTTTAGTCTCAGCTGCTCAGGAAGGAGGCTGAGACAGGAGGATTGCTTAGCCCAGTTTGAGTTTGAGGTTGCAATGAGATATGATTATACCACTACACTCTAGCCCTAGGTGACAGAGCAAGACCCTGTCTCAAAAAATAAACAAATAAATAAATAAATAAAAATAAAAAAAAGAAGCCCAGGCTGTATCTTGCTTCAGGGTCTGTACTTTTGCTTGCTGTTCCCTTTTCCTATAGTGTTTTTTCTCTGCTTTTTCTTGAAAGATGGGTTCCTCTTATACTCTGTCGAAACACCCCGTTTCTTTCTTTTACCGTACTTATTACAATCTGTAATTACTGTATTATCTTTATATACTTACTGAAATGTCTGTCTCTCCCTCCAAAATGTAAATTCCATGAAGGCAAGGTTCATGTGTGACTTGACTTGTTCATTGGTGTATCTTGGTATGTGCTTGATACAGAAGACACATGTTCTTAAACAAATGAATAACTGAGGATCAACATCAATAATTTATTTTAGCAAGATTGGTAATGATTGGGGGATGAAGTTTGTGAATGGAGGAAGGAAGGAGAGATTGAAGGGGCATGTTAGGGTAGTAGTGGTTAACCTTGGAGTCCAGCCTGAATAGGGAGGTAAGAAAAGCCAAAATGTGAATTCTGGAGGTGAATCAGTGGGATTTTAGGTATTAAAAGTCATGGGGTTGATTTAAGTGGAAGGAGTGAACGTTATGGTCAGAAAAGGGGGAATTTTAGAGTTTGAGTACATGGGGGCACATCAGGTTTTCATGATGGTAGAGCCAGGTTAAAGTGCACCTCTTATGTGTTCCTATTGCATCCTTTCCATACTGCAGCTATACTCTACATTGTCTGTTTACTACCTGTCTTTCCTTCTAGGCAGTAAACTCCTTGAGACCATGAACTGTTTCTTGTTCACAGATATATCTCCAGTACCTAGCACATTGCTTCAAAATCTTTATTGAGTGAATGAAGAGATGCTATCTGAAGTGGAATAGAGGTGATGGTAATAGGAGTTGAGGGGGTTAAGAGATATTAACATTGAGACATAATTTACATACAATAAAATGCATCTGGCCAGGCACCACCATGCCTGTAATCCTAGCACTTTGAGAGGCGAAGGTGGGAGGATTGCTTGAGCCCAGGAGTTCGAGACTAGCCTGAGCAACTTAGCGAGACCAGGTCTCTACAAAAAAATTTTTAAAAATTAGCCAAGCATGGTGGTGCTTGCCTGTAGTCCCAACTGCTCAGGAGGCTGAGACAGGAGGATCCCTTGAGACCGGGAGTTTGAGGTTGCAATGAGCTATGATAATGCCAGGGCACTCTAGCCTGAGCGATAGAGCGAGACCCTATCTTTAAAAAAAGAAAAATACATTCATTTTAAGCATTTGCTGGAAAATTTTAAAAACATATACTTGTGTGA